CCCTATCCCCCTCGTCGTGGCCCTTGGGCCACGGTCCTCCACGAGGGCCTCGCGCCCCCGCCCACCCGCCCCTGGCCCAGCACCCTGGCGAACCCTAACCCGCCCTTCGCGCCCCGCCTCACCCGGCAGCGTGCGCACTCGCAGGTGCTGTGGCCTCAAAAGCCGCACGTTGGACTCCGGCATCAGCTCCACGTTGTATTCCGTGTCGGGGTCGAGGCCGGCCCAGGCCCAGCCCGTCGCGTTCCCTGGCAGCTGCTGGCGGCGCACGGCCCCCGACTTGGCGCTGGGCATCAGCTCCAACACGTAGTAGCCCGAGTCCGGGGTCAGTAGGGGCGGCCAGGCCAGACGGAAGCCGCTAGACGTGACCTCAGAGGCACGGAGCTGCTGCGGCCACATCGCGTCTGCGGATGGTGCAGAGGGTCAGAGAAAGGAGACCGCCTTCTCTCCAGGGGAAAATGCCCAGATGAGGAGGGCAGGAGCCCTGAGGAGCCAGCCCAGCCTTGGCCACGCCCACCAGATGCGAAGGCTGCGCAAAACTGTGCTGGGGCTGGAGGCAGGACACCAGCACAGCCAGCACCCCCTCACCCTCCTCCAGGCACCATCAGGAGCTTCCCTGCCTGCCTCAGCTCCAAACCCAGACCAGTGGGGACCGTTAGCATCCACCTCCCACCCAGTCCAGTGGCTGGACAAGGGCCCCTCAAAGGTGGCAAGATCCAAAGTGATGTCTGAGAACAGAGGACCAGCCCCCCGCCCAGCCAGCACAGGGTCTGGGGTCAGCTCAGCTCTGGATGGTCAAGGTAAAGGGACCCAGCATACAGCCAGGACTGGAGAGTGCCCTGCAGGACAGCAGAGATGTGACAACCCAAGGTGCTGCACGCCTCCAGTCCCCAAGAGAGTGTGGAGGGGAACTGCACAGTGGGCCCCCCAAATCTGTTACTACTTCTGAGATCGGATGCCAAGCAGCTCATGGCCATCTGGGTGACTGAGCTGGTAGGTATGGCTGAGAAACGTCCGGGCAGGGCGAGGACCCACAGGACTGGTGCTGCTTTCTGTGATGCTGTGTGTACGGCCGCCAACCTGACACTCAACTTGCTCATCCCCACATTCAGGCCCCGCCCCCAATCCCAGCAGCCCCCACCCGGCTGAGGCAGCCTCTTGCCCTTTCTCCTGTTTTCTGCTCCAGGCTCAGCCAGTTGTTGACCCAGGGGCCACCAGGGGCTGGGTGTCCTGGGGTAAATCTTTGGAAGGACCCTCCACCCCCTTCCAACCCACAGTCCCTCCCCTTCCACGTTCAGGTGGATGATTAATCCAGAGAGAGAGACAGGGAAGAACCCTGGGGTTACTTGGTACTTTTCAGGTGCTACAGTAAACCTAGCCAGTGACCAGGCCCTTCATCTCCAGCCCCTCCTCCTGTGGGGTTTAGCTGGGTCAGGGTGGAGCTACTGGCCCCTGCAGGAGGCCCTCCCCAGTCTGGTCTGGCCTCCTTTCCAGCAGTCACTACACCCCTTATAGTGCAATCCACTCAAACCTCTCGGTGACGGTCCTCACAGGGTGGGGGGCGGGGAGTGGGGCCCCAGCTCTTGGCCCTTCCTGAGCTGGCTCTCCTCCTCCAACACACATACAGGACTGCAAGCTCCATCTGCAGATTCCTCAGGCTTGGAACCTCCTTCCTCTTCCTCTCCTCTTAGGCACATCCCACCAGATGCAGCCCCTCAGCCCTTGGGCTCACACCAAGTCCCTCATTCATGGGGCCTCCAGCAGACAGCCCCACCTGGAGGTGTATAGACAGACCTGACCTCTGTCCCACCACAACCCAGGTAGGGGGCAACCGGGGTGAACAGTTGAGCATGTCCCTGGAGAAGCCATGTGTGTCACCTGGTCCCTGAACCTCCAGGGAGCACACTGCCCCTGCAGCCCTGGCCTCTGCTCCAGACATGCACATTCCTCCTGAAGTCTGACTCAGCTCTCTTCCCAAGCTCCCAACTAGGGTTCCCCCAGGCCCTGCCTCCTCCCACCTACCAAGAATGGAGCCCCTGAGCTCCTGGGTGATCATGTGCAGGTCGTCCACATCCACAAAGTGCAGGTGCTTCTCCGCGGGGGGCGAGGCCGCGGCCGACAACTCCAGGAGGTTGCCGCGGCCAGTGCTGACAATGAAGACAGTGACGCCCAGGTCCTTCAGCTCCTGCATAGGGGGCCCCACGAGGTCGCTGGAGCCGCCGTCTGTCACCCACACCAGCACCTTGGGCACTCCCGGCCGGGCCCCCGCCTCCTCGGCAAACAGCTGCTCCTTGGCGTATGCCAGCGCCAGGCCAGTGTTGGTGTCACCCATGCGCTGGGCTGCAGCACGAATGGCATCCTGGACAGTCGAGCCTGAGCTGTGCTGGCCGAAGGGGAACTCGGTGTGTGGCTGGCTGCCCACGTGCACCAGGCTGGCATGCAGGGCCCCAGGGCCCAGGGGCAACAGGGCCGCCAGCTGCCCCAAAAACTCCCGAACTCGGGAAAACTCATAATGAGACACGCTGGCCGAGCTGTCCAACAGAAACAGCAGGTCCCCCTGGGGGACAGATGCCGGGAGGCCTGGGGGAGAGGGGAGGGTTCAGCCCCAGGTGGTGGCCGCCTGACAGCCCCACACCCAGGGCAGAACCCCCAGCACCTGAGATTTCCCTAAGCCAGCACTTGCCCTTACACAAGGAATCCCTGAGAGCCTTCTCAGTCACACACCCAGAGGTCCTGGGGTAGCACCCCAGCGGGGAGAGGGGTTCTAAGCCAACAGGAGGTCCACAGTTTCAGCGGGTCCAGCTCTGTACCCTGGCCACAGACCTGGACACTTCTGGGCTCATGTCACTTCTCCTGCAAAGGAGAGCTGACCCCTCCAAGCCCCCACACTTCAGCAGACTCTGAGTGCAGGCTGGAGCCCAGGGTCCTGGCCCAGCCCTCAGGAGTGGTGGGTGGATGGGTCTGGGCCACCAGGGCTGCTCCCTCAGGCTTGGCTTCCAGAGAAGCAGCCTCCAGGCTGGAGCTCAGCCTCCAGGTAAGGCCACCCATGAGGAGTCAGGCTGGAGGGGCACAAAACAGCTGAGGAGACTGGGTACGGAGCTGGAGGGATTGGGAAGACACAGCATTGATTGCAACCCCTCCCACAGACCAGACGGCCGGGTTGGAGTCGTGACCCCACTCACAGATGATGTCACCCCTCCCGTGGCCCCCATCCTCTGCTCTGTCTGGACCCAGGAAGCAGGTTACCTGCTGCAGCAGCCTCAGGGCCTGATCGGCCCCTCCCAGGCCTCTCTCTCCCTTCCTGTCGGCATCTTGGGGGCGGGGCGGGGCAGATGGGTCCCTCCACCAATGTGCCTCGAACAGACAGTGGTCTGGGCTTTGGAGCTTCGGGGCCTCAGTTTCCCCCAACCCAGTAGGTCGCCGCCAATCTTCTTACCATCCCTCTACCATTCCATGCAGAGGGAAACTGAGGTAGGGACAGCCTCCCCGGCACACACCTCCCCCTCCCGGTCCAAGCCCCCAAATCCCGCGGAGATGCCGGCGGGGTCCGCGCGCCGCAAGTGGGTGGGGTGCCCTGACAGCCACCCCGGCCCCGGAGCCGCGAGAGGAGAGCGTGGCTCCGTGCGGAGGGTG